GGCCCTTTTCAGTTCCAAGGGATAATTGGATCAGATGATAAACTTTATATCAAATTTTAGATTTAAAATAATTACTAACTCAATATAGTCCTCTAAAAGGTCAATAGTATATTGTCCTATTCATATCTGATGTTTACCTCTAATTAAAAATTGAACTGAATTTTGAAATAGTATTGTTGATTGCTTGATCTAGTAAAAGTTAATTTTGCTTAAGTAAAAGTGGAATAATCAGAGGGCAAGGGCATGGCATATTATTGATGGTTTTGCAATTCAGTTATGTAAATCGGCCAAATCTCTGAGTTTTCATCAATTTCAGAGGACTGAGATGACAATGCCAAACTGTTCTTTGCTTAGAAATCAGTGAAAATGAAAAACCTCATCATGAAAGACTTTCACTACCTCTTTAGACTTAAACTGAATTTTGTCAGCTCATTTAAAAAGACACATAATAATTATGTATTATATATGAACACCATATTGCATATACATTAATTATATATAATCGTTTTCATATATGTTCTCAGCATTCAAAGAAAAACCTCAGTATCCACCAAGTCAGGCTCAAGCAGCTCTTCAAGACAGTCCCCCTGAAGATTACTCCTATAAGAAATCAATCAAAAACCTGTTTAAAAACATTCCTTTTGTCCTTCTGTTGATCACTTATGGTAAGTGGTTTTCTTGTATTTTCTTTAACGTCTGTATAAACCTTCAAGTATCATGGATTCTTTTCATTTAGCTCAGTGGTTTGAATCTTATGAAAGTTTGTTTCTTTTGGTTGTTAACTTTATAGAAATAATTGTAGCATAGTCATGAACTTAGATTTTGAACCAAAAGCAAAAAATCTAGGCTGGATCTTACTTGGTTTTAAAATTTAAAAAAACAGTAGTTCTCCAACAGAGGTGCTATCTTCTTTGGTGAGTTCTCATAAAGTGTTGTAAGTCATTTATGAAGTATAGTTTTGGCTGCAATAAGCGTGTCAGTAGAAATCCTATCGACAATTGCTTTCTTCGACCCTGTGCAAACTGGCATATATTGGGCGGCCCAAAAGTCACCCCTCGCATACGTAAGGAAAATGGGAAATTATAACTAAACGTACCTTTATTTACAAAATAGTCATTGTAAAATTTTACAGAGGTGGCCAACATGTTGAGAGGATTTTGTAAATATTTTATAAAATTGTATAATGAATAGTCCGTACATAAAAGTACATTTAGCTACAATTTCCCACTTTCCTTATGTATGGTGACTTCACGAGCAACTTTTGGGACACTGTATTTTGACTACTCAATCAAAACTAGACTTCAAGGAGGTCGCCTTAACCAATTCTAACATAAAAAAAAATTCTTTTCCTTGCAGCTGACAGATAATTCATCTTAGCCTGGTAACTTGCAGGCACAGTCGGCTTCCTTTAGAGCTCTCGTTTCTTACGTTAGCATTGTTGAAGCACCCCTTGTTTCTTACCTCACTGCAGTTCTCTTTTTCACAACTTTTGAGGATTGCACACCCTAGTACATAAATGTTGTAACCGATTATGTTCTGACCTGAACTCTGACCCTTCTGTTGAGTGGAAATTGTTAATCACAAAAGTAGAACATTTAATCTAACAAACTTAGGTGTTCCCATCACCCATGTTGACCATTGCCCAGCTTCAACAATTATTATCATTTTGCCCTTCTCACTTTACCTATTTCCCCTGCTTTTTCCTAGAATATTTTATTCATTCATTTATTTATTTATTTATTTTTGAGACAAGAGTCTCAAGCTGTCGCCCTGAGTAGAGTGCCATGGTGTCACAGCTCACAGCAACCTCAAACTCCTGGACCCAAGAGATTGTCTTGCCTTGGCCTCCCAAGTGGCTGGAGCTACAGGCATCTGCCACAATGCCCAGCTATTTTTTGGCCTGGGCTGGATTCGAACCTGCCAGCTCCTGTGTATGTGACTGGTGCCCCAGCTGCCTGAGCTACAGGCACCAAGTCCCTAGGATATTTTAGAGCAAATCCCAGATACTATATCATTTCATCCTTAAATACTTCAGTATGCCATAGTTCCTGTTCTTAATTTTGCTGGTACCTCCCTGTTTAGATTAAACCTAATATTCCTAACTAGGATACAGAGAAAATACAGTGAGTACTATGGTATGATAGAAAAAATTCATTTAAGGTTGCTTTTTTCTTTCAGTCTTTTATCTCTTTCTGTTTTCCAATACAAAATTCTCTTTCAGCCAAACTTACAAGCAACCCGCATTATAGACCTACACACTCACACACAGACAGACATCCACATACATATACACTATTCTAGTTTTTGTAATTTTGTGCCAGTATTTCTCTTACCTGAAATATGCTGCTTTTTTCCTTAAGCAGTTCTACATGAGTTAATGTTTACCTCACTTATTGTTCATTTTTGTTGTTCGTTCTTTTATTCTTTTATTCCTTCAATAACTATTAAATACTGACAACATGTATAATAGTGCTGTAGATGCTGTGGGAGGTAGAAAGGGGCATGATATATAAATTCTGCTCATAAGCAATTTATCATCCAGTTTGGGAGATAATATAACATCTGAAAAGTAGCCAACATTGTGGAGATACACATATTTATCAAAAAGGTGACAACATGAGAGAAGTTGGAAGGCAAGTGCATGCCAAAGGCTTCAGGCTGCGTTGTTGGGATAGAATAAATCAGGGGAAGGGCTGTGGGTGGCCACAAAAGCCTCACAGAAGGGACTGGTTGAGCTGGGTCTTAAAAGAATGGGTTGGGGGTGGCGCCTGTGGCTCAGTGAGTAGGGCATTGGCCCCATATACTGAGCGTGGTGGGTTCAAATTGAGCCCCGGCCAAACTGCAACAAAAAAAATAGCCAGGTGTCGTGGTGAGCGCCTGTAGTCCCAGCTACTCCGGAGGCTGAGGCAAGAGAATCACCTAAGCCCAAGAGCTGGAGGTTGCTGTGAGCTGCAACACCACAGCACTCTACCAAGGGTAACAAAGTGAGACTCTGTCTCTTAAAAAAAAAAAAAAAGAATGAGTTGGATTTTGATAGGCAAAGGGGGAGGGGAAAATGGGAGTGAGAGTCTGAGATAGTGTCTCCTCTGATACAGAGTTTCGATGTCTTCATCTTTAATATCACATCACTTAGTGCTCACTTGATTATACATAAATGATTAGGTTAAAATTGGTTTAGTTTGGGATTTATAATAGGCTTCCATACATACTACTTCTTGTTTTCTTTTTTCTTTCTTTTTTACAGCAGAGTTTCACTCTGTCACCCAGATTAGAGTACAGTGGCATCATCACAGCTCACTGCAACCTCACAACCTGAAACTCCTGAGTTCAAGCTATCCTCCTGAGTAGCTGGGAATACAGGTGCTAGCCAATATGCTTTTTATAGAGATGGGGTTTTGGCCTTGCTCAGGCTGGTCTTAAACTCCTCACCACAAGCAATCCTCTTACCTTGGCCTCCCAAATTGCTAGGATTATAGGTGTGAGACATTTTGCCGGCCTCATGTTATTTCATTTAATTCTTCAACTTTTTTGAGATATGTTATCATTCCTATTTTACAAATGAAGGAACTGAATTATTTTAAATTTTATTTATTTGTACAAATAGGTAATACCTACATGTAGTATAAAAATCAAATGGTACAATGGGTTTACAATGTAAGGTTTGTCTTTTCTCTTCCTGTCCCCAGAGACAATCACTATTATCATTTGCAGCTTACACAGGCAAGGAGACATTAGAGTTCAAATCTGGTGATGGTTCCTGATCACCAGCTGTTTTTATTCTCTCTTAATTAATTTTCGTTTACAAATTGCCTGATTAAATCTTTAATACAAGGATAAAGTCTCTGAAGCAGGGATTCCATTATGCTTAGAACAACCATTGGCTATAGTACATGGAGGTGCTTAGTAAATAATCCACCACTTGGGCCAGGCACAGTAGTTCATGCCTGTAATCCTAGTACTTTGGGAGGACAAGGCAGGAGATTAGCTTGAGGCCAGGAGTTGAGACTAGCCTGAGCAACATAGCAAGATCTCAGCTCTATAAAAAAAATTTTTTTAAATTAGGCTGATGTGGTGGTATGCACCTATAGTCCCAGCTACTCAGGCTGAGGCGGGAGGATCACTAGAGCTTAGGAGTTTGAGGTTGCCCTGAGGTGTGATAACATCATTGCACTTTACCCTAGACAGCAGAGTGAGACTCTCAAAAGCAAAACATAATCTACGGGTTGATTGGTTGCCATATATAGTGTTGCATGTGGGATATGATTTCTGGTGAATGTATCTCTAATCTCAATAATAGTAATGTTAGGATAAGGTTCTACTGTTAAATATCTGGAAAATTTAGGTGTTAAATTGATCAGTCTACATAATGAAAGGGAATGGCAATAGTTTTAATTTTCTTCATCAACTGTCCAAGAAATACATCATATTTTCACAGTTGTCACACAGTAGTCCACATCACTTCATAATCTGATAAATGACCCCCTTAAAATTTTCTCTTTATTATTCTAGGTATCATGACTGGAGCATTTTATTCAGTCTCAACACTATTAAGTCAAATAATACTGACATATTATGAGGTAAGCTTCTGTTTCTATCTATCATAGTGCACGCAGGGCCAAGAATTTTTCTTCAGCAGTACGATTCCTGTTAATATGATTGTGAGATTAAGGATTATGACTTTGTTGCTACAAAAGGTTTACATTTGTTTTAATTGAGACTGTATGTTTTAAGAAATAAAATTTCCGGCTCGGTGCCTGTGGCTCAAGTGGCTAAGG